GTGCTTCTTCCAGGTTTCTTCTAATGGTGGTCTAACATTGATCGGTTCATGGTTTCAAAAACGTGTAACTTAACAATGTTCACAACCTCGTAATGCAAATAACAAATTTATCAGTGAAATATGAATCATATCCAGTGTTGGAAATAAAAATGTGTTAGGAAAATTGTTGAGGAGGTTAGACCTCCAGAACTCACTTGGAAAAGGTTCTAATTTTGGATTGTATGCTTTCGCACATGAGTCTATTAGTTGACCTTGAGATTACTTTTTCTACTCGGAACGGCCTTGGCTGTCATTGGTTGATGTGTTAGTTATCTCAGTATGCTATTTTCGTGGCTCTCCCATGGAGGTTTCTATCATGTATAATAAATAAACTCAATTTGTGTGCTTGTTGACCTCATATTTTCTGGCTGATTTCTTATCAAGACTTCTTCCTCTACTTAGTGGGGCCTTGGGATGCTCGGATTAGAGTAGCCGATCGTGTCACTGGATCATTTGTCTTCGCTTTTGTTTACTGACTAAAGTGAACTAGTAATAGCATTCAAGCATATCACAGTGATAAACTACCAATAGGCTGAGAATAATAAATCACACAACAGTTAGTTAATAAGTTAATTGTAATAAAAGGAATATATTTATAATAATTTAGTTACTGAACACAATAAGATTATACACAATAAGAATTCATAAATCAGTCCTAGCACTTACTATTCCTCTAGTTGTTTTACTTTTATAAAGCACTAGTTACACAAAATTTGATCTAATTTATATATATATTTTTTTGATTTTGACCAATTTGGTCTCGAGTGCTGTTACGGGTATGAGGGCGGTTGTCACTTTCCGGCTGCCCACGCCGTGGAACGTTGTTTCTTGAGGAACCCGAAAAGGAAGATAGATTAGCGTTGTTGTTAGAGACCTGGGTGCATGACCGTGGAGCCCAAGGGACAACTGCTTCAGGCCGGTCACGCGCGGCTATTTTATAAAGGTTTTTTTAGTGCTAGCTCCGCTCTTAAAAGCCCTTAGTGGGCACCCTTACCCCCGGAGACGGAAATCCATGAGGTAGGGTGAGGTTTGTCAGCAGTACGACTTCGCCTTCAGACCTTGAGTAGCTGCTTTTAATCTCATCGTTCTCCAATCGACCTGCCTGGCATGGTAGAACCTTCAGGAACATATGTTCCAGCCAGTATATCTCGGCTGGATCATGACGATAGGCAAGCCCGACCACCACGTCAAGGTAGCAGCTATGTACCTACGTACGAAGTTCTGCGTTGTATCTGTCTATATATATATATATCAATCAAAATGTGACCATTGATTCTAGGCAAAGTTGGATTAGTATTTTCTGCAAGAGATATTTGTATTATATTTTTTGTTTTGACACTAGGTTCTATCATTATGTGTTAGGTGGTGGTTATAGGGTTCTTAAGTGAATGAATGGTATGTTATGCGTATCGGGTCATACGTACATGCTATTAAAGCAGACATATCTTTCTAATTTTGCCAGTCTTCTAACTAAAATCATTTTGTTGTTGTAACAACAATCTTCATATTAGTCTATCATGAGAATCTTAAATAATGGTTCACTTCTTGATTTTGTTGACGTGTTTTGTTTTTTTTTTAACAAGATTATCGATTTACTTACGGTAACCTTGAAAAATTTAAATAAGTTTATAAATAGATTATTATTAGTGTTAGTTACTTCGATTAACGTTTGCAGGCGGTATGTCTTTATTTGGAGTTGTTTTTTTTTCCAAAGTCGAAATATTTCAATGTGATTACCAAAAATAGGGGGTTGAATTTTTAGAATTTCACCACTAGGGGTAGCAAGCTCCATCCTTTCTTAGTGTGTGTGTGCTTTGGTTTAGACAAACAGATGGAGTTGTTAACTTGTATGTAAACTTTGGTTTTAAAGTGAATTTCTTAGAGGTGTACACTGAGTAAATTACACTATTGACTTGATCTATTTGACTAACATAATAAAGTTTTCTAGTTAATCCCTTTTCACTCTCTCTCTCTCCATGTGTGGGACATTAAGGTAAAATCATAAATTGTTATTTGTTTTACCTTGGAAAACCTCCCTTTACACTTAAGTATTCCGTGCACAATTTCAATGGAACTTTTAATCCTCTAGGATCATGTTTTACCACTGGGAATATCAATCTAGGATTACTACACCCCTACCACCACCTTGTTGGTGTATATAACTAACTATATTTTGTTAACAAAAAGCATTTCATTTCAATAACAATCTCACATATCTTTTATTAAAACGTTAACAGCTATATTTTATCGTGTCATAATTTGAGAGTTAGAACTATTCTCATTTTTACTGATTCAAATCATAACTTGTTTGTTCATCACACAGCTAAATCGATAGAATTCTATAACCAATTAAGGACTGACTGGTCGTATTTAAAAATTGTTAGTCATTGTAAACATCTCGGTCCTACATGAAGTCAGTTGCGATTGCGACTCCTTAATGGTAACGTCTAAACCTCTGAAGTTGGTTAATGAGTGTCTTAGTTGCATGTGGGGCACTAGTTCTCTGAAGATTACCGTACGAAGAGTTCCTAGGTTATGTGCTGACCATTTCCAATTCTACCTAACAACTTATGTCTCTCTATTATGATCTAGTATCATGCAGGCAATAAAACTATGAAACACTTATATCATCAAACCATTTGACTAGATGTGAGTAGTGATCGATCCAAATATGATTAACATATTAGTAATGAATGTCTATTTCAGTCAGTCAGATGCAACGTAGAACCTCGTACGTAAGTACATCAGTTCATGTTGACATACCACATTAGCACAGAGATGTAATTGTCCATTCGAATCCAAATAGTAGAAGAGGTAGTAAAAAGGTATTAGAAGTAATCGGAGAGGTTAGGATTAGAAGATATTATTCAAGAAGTATGATTCAATGAGATAAGTTTAGAAAGTCAAAACTAGAGGGGCTGACGAATCCAGAAGATTAGGATTTGAGAGAACACAAAGAGTAAATGCACCGGCGCCATTGCAAACGATTTTGAGCCATGTCTATTTACTTTTTCTCTTATTACAATATGAGATGATTTTATCGAACTATTCACAGCTGTCTGTTTATCACAAGTCATTTAGTATTGTCCTTTTTTTTAATTCACCAAAACTCTATGGTTAAAAGAACCTTGAGATCATGGATTTTTAGTGTTTTGTAGTGTTATCATCGGACCTAGTTCAGAATGAAAACCCGATGGGAATCATGTTGTAATTTTCTAATAAATTTTTTTAATAAAACATGAAATAAACACTATAAAATGAGGAAAATCTCTCTCAGTATTTCTTGTTTCATTAAATGTCTAAATTACCATGCTTCTTACAACCCCAGATATTGAATAGAAATGAACATGTAATCTTATCGTTCATACAAAAAACGGTTATTTTTTTTTAACTAAAATAAGTAGTTTAAAGATTATTCTGTTCGAACTTGTGAAATGGAACTATGTAACTGCGTCGATTGTTTATTTTTTCCCTCAACATTGAAATGTGAATTAGCTACACGTAGATCGTGTAATCGCGCTGATTTAGAGAATCTTTGAATAATATAGTCTGTAAATTATTAGTTTCTAAACTGTTCGGCCAACATATTTTTTTAACATGATTCAAATTGTACTAATAACCTGTTCTGAACTTATTTTTAAGTGACAGTGAAATTGTGAACTTTCAGTACATATAATTGAATGTGTTTTTTAAAGTTATATATAACCTGAATTCAGTTAGACCACCACCAATAATGTAGTGAACGAGAACACAGGTGGGGCAACCGAATTGTATGTAACGACAATTACAGAGTTACTCAGTAAAATTGGAAAACCATATCGTAAATCGTTAATTTGCAAAAGATCAGTTCATCATATCGAACTGGACTGTTCCTGTTGCAAAACAACATCAATCCATTGTCACTATTCATGCGTTTCATACAAATTCCATTGTGTTCTACCTCTTCCTTTCTTGATCTTGACCCATATTCTGCTGCCACCAGACATTACGTTGACACTCACGTCATATACTACTTATAAGTAGCTCGCACCACAATAATAAGACCCCCAAAAAACACTGTTTAACTACTTCATCGTAGTACAGAACTCCTCAATAGTCTGCATCTACAATCTTATCTAAAATCTCAAGACTGTTAGGTCTTGTGATAATCGCCTAAATCTGTAAATCATTGAATTGGTTCCTGGTAGTTTACTTTTCCAACTCGAATAAATTTAGATAGAATGTTTGTGATTATGCTAATAACTCTTAAACAATGTTAAATGATGATCGTTGATGAGATTGAATATACGGATCATTGGATTCTAAATTGAATCTCTCATGAAAAATATGAAATAATTATTGTGGGTTGACTGACACTCTGTATAGCTATTATATAGAAGCCATTATTCATATCCTTTAGATTTTTAGTTTGACAAGAGCTACAATGTCACCAAATGAAACGAACCTAATATTAGATTGTATTATGCTTGATTGTAAATGATTGTTGGCCAGTCGCAAGAGCATCACTAACAAACACTAAGTAACATGTCTGACTGAGGTCGTGTGCTGTTACGGGTATGAGGGCGGTTGTCTTCTGGAATCGTCAGCACCTCTACTTTTGTCTTTCTAACCTTATCTCACTGAATTATACTTCTTGAATAATATCTTCGAACTATAGTCTTCTTCATTACCATTAATACCTCTACTATCTTTATCACTATGGGATTTGATTTGATATTTGCGTCTCTGTGCTAATATGTGTGGTATGACAACATGAACTTATGTACATACGTACGAAGTTCTTACGTTGCAACTGTCTGACTGAGGTCAGCATTACCTGATGATCAGTTGTTAAAATAGAATTTTATGACATGGTAGATTTTTTAGCGCATCTTTTGAATAATTACATTGTTTTTTCTGATGCTTTTTGAAAAAAAAACAAAAACATGTTTATAACTACTTGTTTTTGGTTTTTTTTTTAAGATCAACACGAATTCAATGGAGGAGATATTTCTAGGTCATCCGAAATTAAAGAAATCTTTACCATTATTACTACAATCATTGTCAGCAACAAGTTTACCATTTCCAATATTAGTGAAAGAAGATTTCATTGAATTCAGTTCTGATCATGGTGATGATGATAACGACAATCATGACAATTGTGAACAGTTTACATTTCAAGCGATTTTATTAAATGGTGCAAAGACATTAATTACTGATATGCAACAAATTCAGATACTTCGAAAAAGAGTAAGTATATATTTTTTTTGTGCAAAATTACATTGTTCTGTATATATAGTTTTATGGATGACTATTGTTCACACATGCTTATTGTTGCCTATCATGCTCATATGATTTTGAGATGATGGAGAAAACTTGTAGCTCAGGTGGATGATTGTGGTGGTGGTGTTTCGTTCTCTGAGCTGGATGTTGTTTTGGCTGTGGAGCTTTGATTGTTCTTCTACTGAACAACATCATCATCAGCACAAACTTCTTCAGATAGAAGTGAAGCATTCGAATTTCTCCACGTTTGACCTGTAGCTTGGGACAATGTGGAAATACTGGGTAGGGGGAGGACAAAGAACACTAGAGAATTTTTAGAAGCATGGCACTCAGGTCAATCAGCAATCAATCAACAAACACATCGACATTGACCCAATTTATCAATCAATCAGAAAAATCACAGGCAAGTATAGGATCAAGAAACAGATCAAAAAGGGGATACAATCAAAACAAATGTCCAAACAACGACATGTTTAAGGTCAACAACAACTAATCAAGATCGAGGTTAACAGAAGAGGAAGCTACAGGTCAAACGTGGAGAAATTCGAATACTTCACTTCTTCTGTCTGTAGATTGTGCTGATGATGTTGTTCAGAAGAAGAACAATGAAAGCTCCACAACCAAAACAACCAACTGAGAGAACGAAACACCACCACAATTACTGTTGCCTAATAGGTAAGTGAGATTGCGCGAATGTCTTCTGATTTTTTAATTTTCTCGGTAAAGAATATGAATTTTTCTAACTTCGTTTAGTTGAATACATTTCAGCACAGATTGTGCTAGTATTGCTTGGCAAAATGAACCGATATATATATATATATATATATATATATATGTTAGTTACTGATGGTATCTTAAAAAGTTCATGCAAAGTCTTTAGTGTTTGCACTGTTTATTTGGTCCTGAACTAAAAAGCAAATTAACTTTCCAATACTATGTATGTGGTGGTCTGTTGGCATCATATTTTTATTGGTTTCAAAAATGTGTAACTTACCAATCTTCACAACCCCTGTAATGAAAATTACCTATGCTCACTAGTGACTAGCTTCGTGAGGAATCTTCTCCGAGTTCTAGTGAGAAGACGTGACCAGTGAAGTTTAACCTGTTCGGGTGTAGACAGTGTAACTACCGAAGACTATGTATGAGGTTGCGCAACTCCGTGAATTTGATCAAGTTAGACAATAACACTGTTAGATACCGGCTCAGTGGTCTAATGGTTAGGGCGTTCGCGCACAATACCGAAGGTCCTGGGTTCGAATCCTGCGGGATGCAGTAGTCGTGGATGCGCACTGCTGAGGAGTCCTATACCAGTGCTTCCAGATTTCTAACGGTGGTCTAACATTGATCGATTCATGGTTTCAAAAATGTGTAACTTACCAATCTTCACAACCCCTGTAATGAAGATTTGAAAATTGACTAATCCCATATAAAGAGTTATTCGTTGAAATGAAATGCTTGTCAGGACCATTACGTTGATAAATAATTATTTGAGACTATAAAATTCGAAGATCAATGAAAGCTGTTACACTCCATAGCTTACATTTTGAATTAACTGGTGAGTTAGACAAACAATAAAAACAACTGTTTCTCCGTAGTATGAAATTTCTTGCCAGTATGCATTCAGGACACTACGGACGATCGAACGTATCCACTTTCAATTGCTGACTACTACTGAATTGGCATCAAGTAGTTTTCAGTGAACACTGCTATCGTCACAATCAAAATGAAGCTTGAATTATTTACACGTATTATTTCAACAGTAGAAAAAACAATCTTAGAGTATGAATTAAGAAGTGAAGTATCTTATTGACCAATAGCTGTAAATGTAGATACTGTATGGTTCGTCACTAGGTACGCTTGAAGTTATTACGAGTTCACCTTAGTCGATAAACGCGAACGAGACAATAAACCAGCGTCCAGATAGGCTACCTTGAATCCCAAGCTGTAAAACAGAAGGCTTGGTAAGCGTAGAAAGTATATTCTACAAAAACCCAGCAATCACAGTACAATCAGACATGCAACTCTCGTTTATTTATGCATCATAGAAACGTCCTTGGGACAGTTATGAAAATAGCACACTAAAATACACAGCAACCAATCACACAGCCATGGATTTTCCTGGTGGGAAATGAAATCTTAAGGTCAACTGATGAGCCCATGCTCGCAAAGGTGAAATCCAAAATAAGGCATTTATCAAGCGAGTTTTGGGGATCTAAAATCCTCAACAGATACTTTATATATTTCTTACTTTGTATCCATCATTTTGCATTGTATGATTACGATTTTCTGTGTGGTGCTCAAAAGGAAGCAAGTGGTTTTCGTAGCAAGCTATTCCAACAGCTTTCGACGCAAATGTTTAATCCACAAAGTGATGGAGCAACATCAGGGGATGTAGTCTCGTCAGTCAGATGCAACGTAGAACTTCGTACGTAAGTACATCAGTTCATGTTGCCATACCACATATAAGCACAGAGATGTAATTGTCAATTCAAATCCAATAGTGGTAGAGGTAGTAAGGGAATTAGAAGTAATCGAAGAGGTTAGGATTAGAAGATATTATTCAAGAAGTATGATTCAGTGAGAAAAGTTTAGAAAGTCAAAACTAGAGGTGTTGAAGAAGAATCCAGAAGATTAGGATTTGAGGGAACACAAAGATAAATGCACCGGCGCCATCGCAAACGGTTGTGAGCCATGTCATTCAGGTTATCTAACCGTCGATTATTATCATCTCGCGGATCCCAACCAGGTAGTCGACAACTACCGACATGACTCAGTCCACTTGTCAGTGACTTCATGGATTTCTGTCATGTTTTGGTTTGGCCGCCCCTAACTTTCTTCCAACCTGTTCCTCGTAGAGCCAATGACAAAGAATAAGTCCCTACGTCGCTTGTACTTTCACGATTCTGGAGCCAACTCACCTAGATGGATCCTCTGTATCCACTTACCGGGTCCAACAACCGAACATTCATTCACTTTTTGTCCTCTCGTTTACGTAAACAATACCACTACCGTTACACTGACTTCCTGTCTATTATTTGAAAGAAATTCAAATACTGGAAATACTACTTATTTCTATTTCTCGCTTGTTATAGAAATTTAATGACGTTAAATCGAATAAGTTTATGACGAATATTCACTATTTAACCATTATTCCTTTGGAAGATGTTTTAGTGAAATTGTAGTGAAGGAGAACACAGGTGAGGGCAACCGAATTATATTTAACGAAAATTACAGAGTTACTCAGTAGTAAAATAGGAAAACCATATTGTAAACGGTTAATTTGCAAATCTTCAGTCCATCATCAATCCATTGTCTGACATTTCACTCACTATTCATGCGTTTCATACAAATTCCATTGTGTTCCCACTCTTCTTCCTTTCTTGATGTTCCCCCATCTTCTGCTGCCAGACATAACGTTTTCACTCGCGTCATATACTACTCATAAGTAGCGCGCACCGCAAAGTGAACAACTGATATTAATTAGTATATCAGCTAGCCATCAAAGTCCATTCAGCCAGTTGTATTACCATCTTTTTTATTATGGCTATTGTTTAAAGCCAAACACATTCAATCAATTTTTCGATCACATATTCATTATTCATTGAATTAATGAACTAATGTAACTTAACTACTAGCAGAAGCGTCGTAAACTAACTATCCTGTAAGGTCATGTGATAGATACACCTACTACTAATCGATAATAATTAGCAGTGACTCAGTCATAAAATTAGGACACAATTGATCGAATACGAGTTTGGATTAATTTTTTTTTCACTTCTCTTCCAACTGGACACTATTCATCTGAAATCTCAGTTTTGTATCTGATTTGTTCTCCCGTATGCTTTAGGCTTAGTCGTCACTCTAACAATTGTATTACAGGGTTTTGAAGATTGTTAAGTTACACATTTGAAGTCATGAATCAATCAATGTTAGACTACCATTAGAAACTTAGAAGCACTGAAAAACGTCCATTTCATCCTGATATGCGGCGACTTATCAGCGCAAGACCGTGAATTAATCGAAGTTCGACATTAACACCGTTTGATATCACCGTCTCAGTGGTCCAGAGGTTAGGCGTTCGCGCGCAAGACAGAAGGTCCTGAGTTCGCATCCTGTGAGGTGTAGGAGTTGTGGATACGCACTGGTGATGCGTCCCATACCATAACCAAACGGCCGTCCAGTGCTTTCAGGTTTCTAATGGTTCACGATTTCAGTGCATAAATTAAGTAGAGTTTACAAACAATACTTCAGTCAAAAATCCTAAATCAAAAGAATTCTTCAAGTTCACAACATTTTAATGAGTGTCACCTAAGTATTTATTTATTAATAACAATATATTCTAATATACGATAATTCTTATCAAAATTTAAATATTAATCTTTTAAACTACCAGCAATCATACAGATATATATAACATTGATCAATTTTATAATGGTAATATTCTTTTTATTTTTAAAACAAACTAACATTTTTTTTGAAAAAAAATTCCAAATCTCATGATTTTACTACTCTCAGTGGTACGTTTATCATTAGTAAAAATGACCTACACTCACTCATAGAATAATAATAATAGCGTAGCGTACATTTCAAAAATGAGTTTAGTTATTTATGCACACGTGATCATTGAAATACACTGATCGATGAAAACAATTCGGTTTTTTTTGTGTGTGTGGGAAGGAGTTGTTCTATCGATCGTTTCGGAATATATATGCATGTATAATACATGGGATAGTTGATGGCTGTGTATTATACCAGGGCTGTTTGTGTGCATTTATGCACGTGTACAATTAAAGTATCATATTGTAGCAGTCATCATCTTGTCGTTAAAGATTGTTAAGATGGTTAAAATCGATGTTTTAATCGAATTCATTGTGCTAATATTACACCAATCTCAGTTTCTATGCTTCTATGACAAGACAATTCAAAATATCAATGATAATTGGTGTGTGTGTGTGCCTGTGTGATATCGTGGTGCGAGCTAGTTATAAGTAGTATATGACGTGAGTGTCAACATAATGTCTGGCAGCAGAATATGGGGGAAGATCAACAAAAGGAAGAGTTAGAAGAACACAATGGAATTTGTATGAAACGCATGAATAGTGACAATGGATTGATGTTTTACAACAGGAACAGTCGAGTTCGAGATGATGATGAACTGATATTTTGCAAATGAACAATTTACGATATGGTTTTCCGATTTTACTGAGTAACTCTGTAATTTTCGATAAATACAATTCGGTTGTCTTCGCCTGTGTTCTCCTTCACTACACTATGTCATAAAAGTGTGGATTAGCTTGCTAAGAAATTCAAACGATCTATCACAGTTTTGCGCCTTCTTTCATTGTTTATCTTATCTGAGACTTTTGTAATTTTGTAATTTCTTTTCACATTTTTTATGCCTCGATTCTATTCTTTCTCTTTGACGACCTATTATGCTTTTTTTTAATGTCATTATATTTCGACTACCCCTTGCTAATTCTCATTTCATCCTCATGATGTGTTGTGTGACAATTTCGATTGATCCACAGATTTTGTGTCATTTGAGCTAGCTATCTGCTCAAAATTAAAGCACTTTGAGTAAATTTAATTATGCTTCATAATAAAGTATAATTGCATGTATAATTCTGACGAAAACAATTGACTTGAAATTGATGAATCGACAACCATTCTCAGTATGCTTACGAATAATCTTCCCATCGTACCCCAATAGAAGATAATTCAAAGTACATGTTTTTTTTTTAGGGAATGATTTTTCAATTAGAGTTAGACATTAATACCGTTAGATGCTGGCCCAGTGGTTCAGAGGTTAGGCGTTCGGTCGCATAGACCGAAGGTGTTGGGTTTGTTTCATGTGAGGTGAAGTAGTCATGGATGCGTACTGCTGATGAGTTCCATACAAGGACGAAACGGCCGTCTCTGACTGCTTCCAAGTTTCTAATGATGGACCAACAATGAATGATTGATGATTTCAGTGTGTAAAGAATAATTTCCGAAATTTCATATGATTAATTCTCTTTATAGATTTTTTGTATATAAATAACATGCTGAAAATATCATTATTCTCCTACCAGCTTACTCAAGAATTTTATGCATGAAAAATGCAAGAAAATTAATTTGTCAAATAATTTAGTTGTGAACAACAATATTCCGTAATTTAAGGACATATAGTATTATATTCGTTGATTGAAGGTGCTCATTAAAATTAATTTCATATAGTGTTATATATCAATCCATTCTGGAACCGCTGAGTGAACAATGATTAAATTCTCTTCAGAGTATTCGTTTAAACTGGCACATCGGTTAATGAGTCAGTGAATCTTCATTGATTGAGGTGGCTAAAAACATGCAATGCGTGTATCCTCCTTAACCACTATTTACTACGAAGAATAGTAATGGAGCATTTTTTTTCTGTTCATACATAAGTATTGGTTCGTCACTAAGTTTGCTTGAGGCTATTACCAGTTTACCTTAGTCGATAAACGCAAACGAGACTTTTACCAGCGTCCAGATAGGCTACCTTGAATACCAAGCTGAAGATAGAAGACTTTGTAAGCGTAGAAAGTATATTCTACAAACACTCAGCAATCACAGTACAATCAAACATACAACTCTCATTTATTTATACAACATAGAAACGTCCTTGGGACAGTTATGAGAATAGCATACTAAAATACACAGCAGCCAATCACAGCCATGGATTTTCCTGATGGGAATCGAAATCTCAAGGTCAACTGATCAGCCCATGCTCACAACGTGAAAAGCAAAATAAGGCATTTATCAAGCGAGTTCTCTCGGGATCTAACATCCCCAATAATAAGACGTAATAGTTTTAGTAAAACTGGTAATGTTTCACACGGTAAGATTGAATATACAACAACGTTTTTCCACACTCTAACTTGATTCAGGTTGTTTTCAATGCGTAAACATGATATTTCTTCTCATTTATTTTTCTTTTTGCTTTCAGGGTTGTTACGGTTTCCGTCAGAATGATGAATTTACTCTCCACAATAAAACCAACTTTATACCTAAGTAAGTATAGTCAATATCTCGTCGCTAAAGTGATATGTTTCAGTGGTAAAAGGTATCAAGATATACCTTCAGTGCCAATGTACACTACTAGGCTTGTCATAAAACTCCTCCTGGAGCCCTTTTGGGTTTACTGCGGTCCCATGCCCTGTGCAGCATCATCGACGAGAAAGGTGGATCCGATGCAGATGTGAGGCTGCCGATTGGCAAAGCAAAGGGCTGCGTTTCTACAGTTGAAAAATATCTGCAACTCCAAACAACTTTCAACCAAAACCAAAATCAGGATTTTCAATACAAATGTCAAGACAGTTCTACTGTATGGGGGAAGGAAACTTGGAGAACTACCAAAGCCATCATCCAGAAGATACAAGTATCTATTAACAGCTGTCTACGCAAAATACTTCGGATTCGTTGGTCAGACACCATCAGCAACAACGAACTGTGGGAGAGAACAAACCAGATTCCAGTGGAGGAGGAAATCAGGAAGAAGCGGTGGAAGTGGATAGGACACACACTAAGAAAAGCACCAAACTGCGTCGCGAGACAAGCCCTCACATGGAACCCTCAAGGCAAAAGGAAAAGAGGAAGGCCAAGGAACACATTACGCCGAGAAATAGAGAAAGATATGAGAGGAATGAACAAACATTGGACAGAATTGGAGAGGAAAGCCCATGACAGAGTTGTTTGGAGAAAACTGGTTGGCGGCCTATGCTTGATTGGGGCTAACAGGCGTAAGTAAGTAAGTAAGCATGCCCGGATAAAGGAGTTGGAATATGCATGGGATTAGCTACCTCGTCCCTTAAAAAACCGACTTGCTAAAAAAACCAGAAAAAAATTAATTCAAACCATTTAGACTATGTCGTGGCATTTAGAAGCTCTTCGTTTCGAAGAGTTATCACGCCTCATGTGAAGAAAGCCGCGTTCATTCCAAAGCTACGAGGTCGATTTCCCTTTTGATAACCAAGGCAACATTTAATATAGTAGGTAAATGCAACATTCTCATAGTGTGGGATACCGAAAGGACCATTCCAGTTGCTGCCTTATTGAAAAGATACAACCTGATAGTGTATTGAAATAAGTGAAGCACATTCGATGCAAGTTTGGAGGAGATAGTGTTATACTTCGGCCATGAAGAAGGAAATGCCTCACACACGCAAGGAGTTTCACTGATCCTATCCAAACAAGCACAAGAAACACTGATAGGATGGAAATCTCGCAAACTCAGGATTTTCAAAATTTAACTCATCTTAACGACTTTTATCAATCAACATTCTCAACTTTACCTACCTATTTGCCTAACAAACTGCATTACTCACTCCATCGTTTTATTACACTCAATCAATCTTTCGAAAATATTTACAATCAAACTTTAAACTTACCCTTATTTTCTATGTTCATAGTGTTGGGGATGTTAGATCCCCCAAAACTCGCTTGATAAATATCTTTATTTTGGATTTTATTCATGGGCCGAGCAGTTGACCTAGAGATTACATTTCCTACCAGGAAAAATCCTTGGCTGTGACTGGTTTCTGTGTATTTTAGTGTGCAATTTTTGTGACTGTACCAAGGACGTCTCTATGGAATATAAATAAACGCAATTTGATTGCTTGGATTCATTGTGTATGCTGGCTGGGTGTTTGTAGAATACACTTTCTACACTATATCAAGACTTCTTTCTGATACAATTCGGTCAAGGGATCACAGTAGCCTACCTGGACACTGTTTCAGGTTGTTTTGTTCTCGTTATTCGACTAAGTTGAACCCGTAATAGTTTTAAGTATACTTAGAGATGAGCATAACACATAACCCCTTGTTTCATATCCACAGATTGATAAAGCACAAAAATGACTATTTCTCACCATACACTTACCTTTTCGTTAACAGTTATAAATTTTGTCCTACGCTGTACAAATTGACGAAAATCAAGCGAACTTTATGAATCCTTCTTGGCCTGATAACTAACTAATTATCTTGATTCCTTAATGTTACAATGAATATTTATTTTTTTTTGAGTGGTGAACTTAATCTACTGATTGGTTAACAAATTAACTGCCTTATTGTTGTAATGCTGCTACGTATTAGTTATTCAGTCCTAGCGGCGTTCAATTCAAATATCCCAATACGACCCAAAATGCTATTTCCAAATCTCCTATATATCAGAACGCAACACAGTGGGATGGAGTTGTTTATTGGGTCGAGTACAGAAGAGAGAGGTTGGCAGGAAGAACGGAATCGGAATCGGAATCATGAAGTCTTACAGATAATGCGTATTTATACATTAAGGTCAAATAGGAAAGAGCATCAAAGTCTGTGACATTGACAGTTTAGGACGACGACCAATAGGAAAGAACATTTGAAATGACATTGACAGTCCAGATGACCAATAAGAAACAACATCGAAGTATTTGACAGTTAGAACGATCATAATTTCAACCAATAGAAATCGACCAATAGGATTGTACTTCTAAAAATAATATTCTTAGGATATTTGACGAATATCCTAACACTTATCATAATGATTTCCATATATAGTAACTTGAATTTATATTAAATATGGGTGTGTTGTGTGTGAGATATTCGGATTTTTTTTTCCATTTAGAGAATACTACAATACCGATGATGATGATGATGACAATACATCAGATGCAGAGAATTCAATTGATAACTTTCCTATTTCTAAAAATATTGGAAAATTAAATGAAAATAATTTTAACGAAATAAACAATACACATTTAATATTGAATGATGTAGAAGTATGTTTTCATTGTACTTTAGAAAAATTCTGAAATATTGTTTTTTTTCGACTGAATGTTTCATTCAATGAAATCATATTTATCTAAACATTAAATATGCTATACTGCTATATAGAGAGCTGAAGGTCTCCTATGAGACTAGATGTTCGTTGTGAATATTGTGGATAGCTTTGCTTTGCTTTGTTTTAGTAAGCATTGTTAACAGTCCATATATACAAAATTAGTTAGCAGGGTGTTCTCTCAAACGTTAATCTTCTAGATTCCTCATCACCTCTAACTTTCTCCTTCTAAACTTATCTCACTAAATTATTCTTCTTGAATAATTTCTGCGAACCCTAATCTTTTCCATTACCACTAATTCTTCTACAATCTCTACCACTCTGGGATTTGCAGTGACGATTGCATCTCTGTGTGCTAATGTGGTATGACAACATGAACTGATATACTTACGTACGTACGAAGTTCTACGTTGTAACTGATCGACTGGTTCACGTCAAATGATAAAACTGTTCAAAATCAGTCAATCAGTTACAACGTAGAACTTCGTACGTACGTACGTACATAAGTTCATTTTGCCATACCATATTAGCACAGAGATGCAATTGTTCTGTGATAATAAGATCTGGTGTTGAATCCTCCTAGGTTTTCACGTCTCACGTGACCAAAAATTATTTTTTTTGAAGGCAGAGAAACGATTTCTTTATCAACTAATGCTTATTTATTTGTTCCTCGTTGATCTATCACTCAAATATACCATGTATTTATGTAGCTGTAAACTTGTTAAATTGTTTTTTTTTTAATTTTTATATATTTTAAACGCTAGACATTGTTTTTACTCCATGGACTTGGTTGTTTAGACGTTTACTTGCCAACTAATGATAATTCACCGTTGGATTCAACTAAAACATATCAACAACTAGAACCATTGTCTTTGGTAAGACAAGTGATTATTTTTACTCAGTTTTTTTCTCTTTATGCATAATAAATAATATTTGAGTCATTTTCTTTTTAAATAATAATTTGACTTTCTAATGCTGGTCTAACAATGATTGTTGATTGATGATTTCAAATGTGTAAAAACGCAAACCTCCAAAAAACTGTGCCCCAAAATATCGTAACAGTGCTCACTAGTGACTAGCTTCGTGAGGAAATTCTCGGAGTTCTAGTTGAGAAGCCGTGACCAATGGAGTTCAACCCTGTCGGGTGTAGGCAGTAACTACCAAAGACAAATGGGTGAGGTCGCGCGAAATCCGTAGATCAATCAGAGTTAGACATCAACACCGTTGGATGCCGGCTCAATGGTCTGATGGTTAGGCGTTCGCGCACAATACCGAAGGTCCCAGGTTTGAATCCTGCTAGGTGTAGGAGTCGTGGATGCGCACTGCTGATGAGTCCTATACCAGGACGAAATGGCCGTCCAGTGCTTCTTCCAAGTTCCTAATGGTGGTCTAACAATGATTGATTGATGATTTCAAATGTGTAATAAACTGATTTTGTTTGTTCCTTTGTCTATGCATGAATATACAACAGTATAAATTGTGGACTATAATTGTTGTCTAATTTTTTTAAAAGTATTCATTATTTGAATTTTTCAAGTGTTTAACAATACTAAATGTAGTGTATTTCAAATGATTGTTATGTATGTATTTGAACATTTTCAATTGTGTTATTATAGGTCACAACCATCAAAGGTTATGATGCCTATTTTTATTGTTGACTTGTTGAATAGCACTGTGCTTTCAAATCGACTGTTTACTTTGAAACTTTCGATAAAAAAAAACTATTTAGTAGCGTATCTGACGGTTAATTGAGTTAATTTTTGAAATTGCGGATCGATCAATGTTAGACTCATTAGCACTGCGCATCTACAACTCCTACACCTCGCAGGATGCGAACGTAGGATCAGTCAGTCAGTCAGATGCAACGTAGAACTTCGTACGTAAGTAAATCAGTTCATGTTGACATACCACATCAGTACAGAGATGTAATTGTCAATTCAAATCCTATAGTAGTAGAGGTAGTAAAGGTATAAGAAGTAATCGGAGAGGTTAGAATTAGAACATATTATTCAAGAAGTATGATTCAATGAGAAAAATTTAGAAAGTCAAAACTAGAGGTGTTGAAGAATCCAGAAGATTAGCATTTGAGAGAACACAAAGAATAAATGCACCGGCGCCATTGCGAACGATTTTGAGCGATGTCATTCAAGGTCTCTAACCATCGATTATTATCATCTCGCGGACCCTAACCAGGTAGTCGACAATACCGACATGGCTAAGTCCACTCGTCAATGACTTCATGGATTTCTGTCATGTTTTGGTTTGGCCGCCCCTAACTTTCTTCCAACCTATTCCTACACTGCAAAACAAAGCTCGACGAGGCAGTCGGTGTTTGGGCATACGTAACACATGTCCCAACCACCTCAACTGATGAAGTTTCACCATTTCATCTATTGATGTTTCATTCTTACCTAGCACCCGATTCATAATAACAGGATTGCTCACTCGGATGTCCCAGGATACATGAGCAATGCTTCGAAGACACATATGATCGAAAACCGATAACCGACGAATATCTTCTACTCTCACTGGCCATGTTTCACAGCCATATAGGTGAACGGAGCGAACTGCTGCACAGTACACTCGTCGTTTAATCAGCAAACGGATATCACGCCAACACCATAAGTGAACGCAGGTTATTCGGTCTTGTAGGCGAACACCTAAACTCTGGACCACTGGGCCAGTATCCAATGGTGTCAATGTCTAACTCCGATCAATTCACGGTCTTGCGCTGATAAGTCGCCGCATATCAGGACGAAATGGCCATCTTTCAGTGCTTCCAGGTTTCTAATGGTAGTAGTCTAACATTGATCGATTCATGATTTCATAAAGTAACTCAATAATATCCACAAACCCATAATGGCATTAACTGAGTGTAATGAACGATAAAAGAGGTTGACAATAGTTATTAAACCAGTAGTAGATAGCTTATATTTTTCTGAACCAACACTGTTCTGCAACTTTTCGTATTCAGTCATTTTTTTGTGTCCTAGAGATTAGTTATTATTGATTGACAACTGACTGGAAATCATATGAAAGTTTTAGCAGCGTATATTCGAGCATAGTAGATCTAATTATTTTGTATTACTGACTGTTTTAAAGTATATTGATCAATCACCAATCACTCATTATAATTCACTCTTACATTATTTAATTAATTAATTATTTCTGATTAGTAGAAAACTAAAAACTTTGTTGTCGTTCTATTCTGATACTCCTCTTATTCCAAGTTATTGAATGAAACATCATTTAAAAAATGTTTGGAATTTAAAACAGTTCATATTCTGAGTTTTTTTTATTTATGTGACAACATATTTTAATTAATCATATATAGTTTTTATCTAATTATCTCAACAACAAAATAAGTCAATAAAAAATTATACTTTTGACATTGTTCACTAGTTTGCTTGTTATCATTGTTCTTTTAAAAAAAAGCCATTAGTTTTTAACCAGATGAACTTAGTTACCTCTCTTCAGTCAGTCAGTCAGTCAATCAGTTACTACGTAGAACTTTGTACGTAAGTACATCAGTTCAGGTTACCATACCACATATTAGCACAGAGATGCGATTTTCAATTCAAATCCCACAGTGCTAGCGATAGTAGAAGTATTACAGGTAATGGGGAAGATCAGGGTTCGAAGATTATGATTCAAGAAGTATAATTCAGTGAGATAAGTTTAGAAGGAGAAACGTAGAGGTGTTGATGAATCCAGAAGATTAGAAATTGTGAGAGATTACAAAGCGTGAACGCACTTGCGCCATTGCAAACAGTTTTGAGCCATGTCATTCAAGGTCTCTAACCATCGGTGACTTTCGTCTCGAGGACCTCAACCAAGTAGCCTACATCTACCAACATGACTCAGTCCACTTGTCAGTGACTTTATGGATTTCTGCCATGCTTTGTTTTGGCTGCCCCTCACTTTCTTCCAACCTACTCCTACACCACAAAACATCACTCGTTGAGGCAGTCGGTGGTTAGGCATACGTAACACATGTCCCGACCACCTCAACTGATCAAGTTTCAATACTTCATCAATTGATCTGAAATCCTTACCTAGCACCCGTTTCCTGTTGTATGTTGGGGTTATGGAATAAAGAGAAAGTTCTTTCATTGATTAGTTTTTTTAAAGTAAATCATTACTGTGTTCTATGTATTGAACTAGAACCGAGGATTGTAACTACTGCTTTAATCTTACTCAGTATAAATAGAAATATCTATCTTAATTGATATTATTAGTTATTACACTGTGTATTTTGTAATTGAAACACGTTACTCTCACATATTTTTTTTCAGATTGTTTAATGGATACTTATTCTTAAACCTAAGTGTTTTTCAATACTTGTATTCTTTGCATATGATTTAGCACAATAATCATAATAATAATAATCATAACTAATCATCATAGTGAATGTTTAAATTTTTAATGAATATTTCAAATAAATTCCCTTTGTATTATAGAATGAAAATTGTTTGCGTGTATTTCTCAGGCCTACCTATCAGACTTACTTATTGATCGACTGAATTATGTTTGTGTAATAAATGCAAATCGAAGTGTTAACCACTAAGTAGTTAACTTATTAAACACGATCAATAAACTGAAATAGTTTGATCAATGCAGAACAACATTACAACGTCTTTGTTACGCATGCATGACAATTTGATACGCTTGAAGTATTATTATTACAAGTTGTTTACCTTAGTGTCAGTAAACGAGAGCGAGGATGGATGGATGATCCGGCAACACGACAAGCTAATCTAATCTGAACGTCCCATCAAATAGAAGAAGAGTTGATAATGAAATAGAATGTGTATTATACAAGTATCCAGAAAGTACGAGGTCCGAGTCCAGATGAGGATAAGTATCCGGGTCGTAAAACGTTAGATAGAGATAATGCATATTTATACAGTTAGGTTGAATAGGAAACACCATTTGAAGAATGTGACATTGATAGTTAAGACGACCAATAAGAACTGACCATTTATAATAATAATTCTCTTAGGATATTGGATGAATATCCCCTAATAATAATCATGTATCTTTCCGTTGTAATAATTATTTACTTATGTTTTAGACGATTCTAGTTTTTTAGCAAAGTATATTTATTATAGAATAAGGTGAAATTGTAAGACTTGTTTTTTGGTTTTTTTCAATGCATCGTCAGTTGAGTGTACCTATCATCTCCTCTAGCGTTGTTGTTCACACCGTGACTTAAATACAATGAATTTCTTTTCAGATATCCAACTCATTCATTATTCACTGAATTATTGAGTCCAGATAACCATTAATATGTGTAACGGATACAATGTTTATATCATTATTAGGATAGGTATAACTTATCCGATTGTCAATATTATTGACTGAAATTCGACTGAAATCCAACTTTTGTATTGATTGATGTAAACAGTAACTCTGGAATGTAAATAAGTACATCCAATCGATAAGTCTCTAATAGAATAAAAGCCAATTTTGTGGATTCTTCTGCTAATCTCAATTTAATTGTTCTATGCACTTTGTATCAATAACAGCTGTTTTTTGGTGGGGAAATGCTAACAAAGACACTGGTCCAACTACAGACCACAATAAGATGATTACTCAAACCAAAATAAAAATTCAAGGTGTGATAAAAGTAAATTCTGTTCATTTTTCCCTTAGGTGTCTTAATTATTGAGTAGTGTATGCTTTTCATTATTTCTGCATTCCTAGTACTTTTGATTAGCACAATGTTCTGTTTTGTCATTTTGATATCATACTACTTTTTATTAAATAAGTAGTAAAATTGTTGCCTGTGATTTTTCTATGTTCGTTTGTTTGTTCATTAAATAGACTAAGGTCTGGATTTGTCTGTGTACAGGATCAATCGATCTGCTTAGCTTACAAGTTCAATCAGCACGAAAACAGATTGAAAAGTATTCAGAACGAGAACTTTATCTATTACGACGTTATGCTGTGTATATATATTACAGATCTAAAGGTTGGATTGTACGCCCTGGATTATGTGTAGGTGGTGCAGACTACTTACTTTATTCTGAAGATCCTAATTGGAGACATGCTTCATTTTGTGTTCTAGTTGACAAGGATTCTACAGACAAAGATGGAGAACAAATGAATTGTGCTACAGTAGCTGCACATGTTCGTGTTGCGCACTCAGTTGGCAAGGTAAGTTTATTTAAATGTATTTGGTTCAGCCATCAAATATAGTCCATAAGATTCTCAAACCTTAGTTGCTTTTTGATTTGGTGATACCCAGATAAGGTAATTTTATGTCTTTTGTGGTTCTTTTATAAGTTACCTTAACACATAATTATAACCATTTGGATAGGTGAAAAAATGTCCAGTCATAGGAGAGGATTCAATGATATTATGCAACATAAATTCGAATACGATGGAAAGCACCAGCTCCTTCATGATGGCGGATTTGCTTTACTGGCGAGTAATAACTATCACGAAATATACTTTGTACAAGACTTTCTGCCTATTGACTGAAGTGATCATTGAATGTTTCAACCAGTCGGATATTGTCAATGTTAAGGCTTTGGAAATTGTTGAATTTCATTAAAATCACAAACCATTCTAACTCAGAAAACCACTAAGAACTTGCGTGCGCTGGGGTTCATCATCAGTACTCATCCATGACTCAACGGGAAATCTAACTCAGAGATTTCAATTGAACACTTTTGACTACCTAGTTATGATCCACTGGCTTTCACGTTCAAGCTCAACCAATTTACATTATTACATAACCATATTTCAACCCCATTTTGGTAAGTAACCAACATCCGACAGAGTGTTGACCAGATTATTAAGGTTTCTTGCATGAAGACCAGGAGCTACCTTTCAAATTTAATCACTTGTGAGCACTCGATTAACAAACATTATCATCATCATCATCATCAAATGCAACGTAGAACTTTGTACGTAACTACATCAGTTCATGTCGCCATACCACATCAGCACAGAGATGTAATTGTCAATTCAAATCCAATAGTAGAAGAGGTAGTAAAAGTATTAGAAGGAATCGGAGAGGTTAGGATTAGAAGATATTATTCAAGAAGTATGATTCAGTGGGAAAAGTTTACAAAGTTGAAGAATCCAGAAGATTAGGATTTGAGAGAACACAAAGAATAAATGCGCCGGCGCCATTGCGAACGATTTTGAGCCATGTCATTCAAGGTCTCTAACCATCGATTATTATCATCTCGCGGACCCCAACCAGGTAGTCGACAATTACCGACATGGCTAAGTCCACTCGTTAATGACTTCATGGATTTCTGCCATATTTTGGTTTGGCCGCCCCTAACTTTCTTCCAACCTACTCCTACACCACAAAACAAAGCTCTTCGAGTCCCAACCACCTCAACTGATGAAGTTTCAGTACTTCATCGATTGATCTGCCATTCTTACCTAGCACCCGATTCCTAATAACAGCGTTGCTCACTCGGGTGTCCCACGATATACGAGCAATGCTCTGAAGACACATATGATCGAAAACCAGTAACTGGCCATGTTTTTTAGCCATAAAGTAAGAGATTAACAAACATCAGATCGTGATGTAAACTAGAAAACCCCTATAATCACTTACAACCTATCAATTTAGCTTTTTTTTTCTCAAGGGTACAGTTGCACACTTCATTGAACCTTCATCATCATTATTTGACAACAACTATTCAGCTTAAAATATTTATAGATATTGTTTTGTTTTGTTTTTTTGAAATACACGATCACTAGCGCGTTATTCTTTGTCGCGTAAGTGTCCCACCTATTGAGGAATTCTCGAATAATCCTTGGGAAGCTGTTCGGAAAACAACAATTAAGGTAAATTGTAACTAATTTTCTCTGACAAACCAATTAATTATTGAAACTGAATTTACTAACAGATTGAAATCAGCTGTAGAACTATTGAAAAGTCATTGAGCACTACAATAACGTTTACAATGCTCGAACTCAAGATCATTGTACTTCACTATGAAAGTGTTATCTTTAGACAATTGTGTTTTATAGGTATCTCTCTTTAAAAAGAACAAATATCAGTCGATAACTAGTGGAGGACTTGAATTTATTAGGTTCCCTAGAACTGAACAACAGTTCTCATGTTCACTAGTAGTGAGAAACTGTTAAAATATGAATTTACAAAGTTTATGAAAATTGTGACTTGTAAATTCTATGAAACTGCTAACTATAATAATAACAATGATCAGTATAACTTCAAATCTTCTGTAAACTACAAGTCCTCCAGGAATTAAGAAATTCAGGTTATTTAATACAAAGAATATGTGATCCGTGTGACATATCTGTGAAGAAAATTATCTAAAATAAAAATATCAAATAATGAGATCTTGGCTATTTTTAGGATATACATTTTATCCGCATAAAATTGGCATAATTAAAACTGACGAGCTTCGTATTAGGACAAAACCGATATGATGATGATGATACCAGTGGGTTGCTTAGCCTTAATCAGAGGACAATATATAAGCATAAATTTTATGCTAGACAAATTATGCTACTTACTATTTAAAAGTAGTACAAATTCTATATATATTTTTTCGATAAATATACGCACTGTCGATTAAATTTTTATTTATTTTTAGGAAACTCTCATTGATTATTGGAAACCGAATACCAAATACTAAGAACAGTGCCAATCACCTTCAATTTTTTCAATGTACATAGTGCCCTAAATATATGAACAACGAAATTGTATTTCAAAACATTTCTGATGTATACATGTGTAAAATTTACTATCTCTCCATAAAAACCTTTTCTACTCTTATTTTGTTACTATACCATCAGATTTTTAACAATTCGCACACATTAAGTCACAAAGGATAATCATTGCATTCGAAAATGTGATAAGATATATTTTTCAAAAATTCATATGTTATTAAGTATTAGTATAGAAGAGTTACAAAGATTGTTGCATTTTACTAAGGCGATGAATCGATTCAGGGTTAAACTTTGACTACTTTGAGTTGAGTATTTAAATATCATAATCTGTTGGTTTTCTGTTTAGTCCAACTGATCTACTTATCTAATATCGAATGTTGTCAGTCAATTACAACGTAGAACTTTGTACGTAAGTACATCAGTTCAGGTCAGGTTACCACCATACCACATTAGCACAGAGACGCAATTGTCAGTTCAAATCGAATGTTGTGTGTAGGATTGTGAACGAAATCTATTTTGTTTTTGATCACAACACAACCATTATTTCTAATAGACATAAGAGGGTATATATATAAGCTCATTCCTACTTAAGATATCTATTTTATTCAAATTGTATACTTCTCAATATTAACTCCTGCTACTGTCAAATTGAGAACCTCTATGAGATTGAATGACATTGCCAATTATATTTTGCTTTTTTGCTAACGTTTAATTTTGTGAATTCATACTGAACCAATAAGTGGTTCATTGTGTATCATCTCATAGAAATTTCGACTTTCTGTTTGCTATTTCACTTATGAGTATGTAAAGTAAAATCATTAGTTCAGTATGATTTTCAAAGTCTATGCAAAGATTTTAATCTTTTTTGTGGACAATATCATCAGCACAATTGTTTGATAGAAGCAATTAATTCTAATCTCATCGCAAATGAGTAACCTAGTTGTCCACTGTATCCCGAGTTTCCCTCTAGATGTTGACGATGAGAAAAGATGAGAGTAAGCAACCTTGCCCGACACCGGTCTTCACCTTTAACGAGTCTGTCAGCTGTCCTCCGTGCACGATTTTGCATTTTAATCCATCATTGGAATTCCGTTATGATGTTGACTATCTTCTCAGGCACGCGGTAGTGTCGAAGAAGCCTCCATAGTGTTGTCCTGTCAACACTATCAAACGCTTTCTCGCGGTCATTGAAGTTGATGTAGAGTGGTGAATTTCATTCAATTGATTGTTACACAATGATCCGTAGTGTTTCAACTTGGTCGGTACTTGATCGATCCTTACGAAATCCAGCCTGTTGATCGCGAAGTTGGGCATCGACGAAGTCCATCATTCCGTTTAACAATACTCTGCTGAAGACTTTGCCTGGTATTGAGGGTAGAATAATGTCTCTGTAGTTCTCACACTTGCTGAGATCGCCTTTCTTTGGTATTTTGATCAGTCTGTTGGTACTTGTTCTTCATCCCAAATCTTCTTAAAAAGAATGTAGAGTATTTCGGAAGTTTCTGCCATATCTGCTTTGATTGTTTCAGCTGGAATGCTTTCTGGCCCCGTTGCTTTGCCGCTCTTGATTTGTCTTATGGCTATACTGATCTCTTCAATTGTCCGTGAGCTAACACTGATTGGGAGGTCCGTGAATGCTGCTTCGATGTTGATAGTATGTTCGGTCAGTCAAATGCAACGTAGAACTTCGTACGTAAGTACATCAGTTCATGTCGCCATACCACAACATCAGCACAGAGATATAATTGTCAATTCAAATCCAATAGTAGAAGAGGTAGCAAAGGTATTAGAAGTAATCGGAGAGGTTAGGATTTGAAGATATTATTCATGAAGTATGATTCAGTGAGAAAAGTTTAGAAAGTCAACACTAGAGTTGTTGAAGAACCCAGAAGATTAGGATTTGAGAGAACACAAAGAATAAGCGCACCGGCGCCATTGCGAACGATTTTGAGCCATGTCATTCAAGGTCTCTAACCATCGATTATTATCATCTCGCGGACCCCAACCAGGTAGTCTACATCTACCAACATGACTCAGTCCACTTCTCAGTGACTTCATGGATTTCTGCCATGTTTTGGTTTGGCCACCCCTAACTTTCTTCCAACCTATTCCTACACTACAAAACAAAGCTCGTCGAGGCAGTCGGTGGTTGAGCATACGTAACACATGTCCCAACCACCTCAACTGATGAAGTTTCATTACTTCATCTATTGATCTGCCATTCTTACCTAGCACCCGATTTCTAATAACAGCGTTGCCCACTCGGTTGTCCCAGGATATACGAGCAATGGTTTGAAGACACCTATGATCGAAAACCAATAACCGACGAATATCTTCCACTCTCACTGGCCATGTTTCACAGCCATAAAGTAGGTTCGGTGGGGCTGATCGATTCACGGGTTCCTTAAATCTCTCTACTCACCTATTTCGCCGTTCTTCAGTGTTGTTGATTACTTTGCCTTCCTTGCTTTTCACTGGTCATTCTTGTTTACGATGGTTTTCAATTTATGGTGTTATTTTCATCTCATTGTGCTAATCTGGTTGATCAAACTGGGCCACCTCATATCTGTGTCAGTAGTATATCATTTGTTCATCATAAAATAATACTAATAATAGAAACATTTGAGAATATTATTTATACCAATATAAAAATTATAAATTGTGAATAAACTAAAGGTAAAAAAGTTAATGCGGAATAATAAATAAAGAATTCATTGTGTTAAGATGAATTTAAATGAACACACTATTCGAGTATTTCTTTTCTGATGTAACAAAACTAAAGCGTTTATTAGTAAAAAAAGAAAAAGAATAGTCATATTAGTGTTGAAGAAAGGGAAGAAAACATAAATTCCTCAAAAAAAGCTTTGAGAATAGAATATTTAGAATGAGATTTTAAAAAAGGAAAGTGAATAGAATGCATTGATCAAGTGAGATACATTCACATTAAAGCAACGAGATTTATTCTTGTATTCTATAGTAATGATTATTATTATGTTGTTTTTTTTGAAAAAAACTCAATCTTGCTTGATAAATGCAATACTGTAATGATGATGATGATGTTAATTTGTTGCGGTTTGTTTATTTTGATGCCCTTTTTTTTCAACAACATCATTTTCGACTCATTGGTTTGGCTTTCTGAAAACGAATAACACACACACACACAGAGAGAGAGAACGAGGTGTGCTTTAGATCATTTATGTTGAATAATAATACATGATTAGAAACTAAAATAGTGAGAATTATTTGTCAATTTTAACGAAACACACTCCGTTTGTACTTTTATTGATCATTATAACAGACAGACAGATACAACGCAGGACTTCGTACGTAAGTAAATCAGTTCAGGTTGCCATACCACGTCATCACAGAGATGTAATTGTCAGTTCAAATCCAAGAGTGATAGCAATAATAGAAGTATTAGCAGTAATGGAGAAGATTAGGGAGCGAAAATATGATTCAAGGAGTATAACTCAGTGAGATAACTTTAGAAAGAGAAAGGTATAGGTGATGAGGAATGCAGAAGCTTAGAATTTCACAGAGCACAAAGAATGGATGCACTTGCGCCATTGCAAACGATTCTGAGCCATGCCGTTCAAGGTCTCTAACCATCGGTGACTATCGTCTCGCGGACCCTAACCAAGTAGCCTACATCTACCAACATGACTCAGTCCACTTGTCAGTGACTTCATGGATTTCTGCCATGTTGTGGTCTGGCCGTCCCTAACTTTCTTCCAACCTACTCCTACACTACAAAACAAAGCTCTTCGAGGCAGTCGGTGGTTAGGCATTCGTAACACATGTCCCAACCACTTCAACTGATGAAGTTTCACTACTTCATCTATTGATCTGCCATCCTTACCTAGCACCCATTTCCTAACGACAGCATTGCTTATACGGTTGTCCCAGGATATACGAGCAATGCTTCTTAAACATCTATGATTGAAGACTACTAGTCTAAGGAAGTCCTGTACTCTTAGCGGCCAAGTCTCGCATCCGTATAGTAGGACGGAGCGAACTGCTGCACAGTACACTCGTCCTTTAGTTAGCGAACGGATATCTCGCCTCCGCCATACGTTACGCAGGTTGACAAAAGCCAATCGAGCCTTCTGTATCCGATTTGAGATTTCTTCAGTCACCAGGACATCAGCACTGATGAGACTCTCAAGATAAGTCAATTGATTCAATCATCTAAGATGATAGTTGATATTACATCAAGTGTAATATTATTGAATCGTGGAAAAGGGGATTAGGTACATAAAGTTTTAAATAAAACTACAAAGTATCAATTTTATTTGAAGTTTCGCTATAAGATTATCGTACACACTAAATAATGAAGTAGTGCGCATCAGTTTAGTCGGTGATGAATTAATTTGTCCATAGTTGGTAAGTTATCAGTTAACTGTGACAAAAAATAAGTTATGAAAAGTGTACGTTAGTTTTCTCCATGTTCATGATTTCCAGATAACGAACGATTTATAGAGCTCAAGTGAATGCTTATGGTGATGTTGCTTGGATGGTCTAATTAGAGGATTTACATTATCAGTAACCACTTCATGAAGCTTCATAATTAGATCGTTTGCAAGATCATAATATATTAACTGACAATAACACTTCGTAGTCGTTTTGTTACATATTGCTAATGTAATGGAGCAAAGTTTCAGTCTATATGTCTTTGTCTTGAAGGAAAAGCGCATATATGCTTATTATTTGCGTATATTATGAGTCGACTTGACAACTACAACTACATCTAATTATTTCTAGCTTATATAGCTGGTTCGGCAAGTATGTAAAAAGCTTGTCTGTCTGAATTTAGATTTCATTTTAAGCCCCGATTTTCACTTTATCTGCTTGTTACTTGGGCTGCACTACATTGTTTTTATAGTCATTCAGTCAGACGCAAAGTGAAACCTGACACATTTGTATAGGTGTGGTGCTGTGGTGCGAACTACTTATAAGTAGTATATAACGTGAGTGTCAACGTAAAGTCTGGTAGCAGAAGATGGGGGAAGATCAAGAAAGGAAGAGTTAGAAAACAATGGAATTTGTATGAAACGCATGAATAGTGACAATGGATTGATGTTTGGCAACAGGAACAGTCCAGTTCCATAGGATGAACTGATCTTTTGCAAATGAACGATTTACGATATGGTTTTCCGATTTTACTGAGTAACTCTGTAATTTTTGTTAAATACAATTCGGTTGCCCCACCTGTGTTCTCATTCACTACATAGGAAGCTCAAGTTTCTAAACCTAGTTAGCACAACGAGATAAAATTGTTTGGGCAAGTCCGAAAATAGTAGCGGTAGTGATAAAAAGGATTAGGCATCGAAGGTATATGATTTATAAAGAACTTAGAAACTGGATCTAGGGGAATTAGAGTCATTTCACTCAAAAACTCTAACCATAAATTATAATAATCATTTAGAACTCGGCCAGAATAGTTCGGACCTACCAACATGGCTCCATTGGACAGCCAGTGTCTTTATGAACTGATACTATGTCTCTCGGTTTGGTCGCCCTCAGCTTTTTTCAACCTACTAAATCTACCATTATCAATAATCGAGATATTTAGTGGTAGGACATGTGTATAACCATCTCAGTCAACAAAGTTTTACTTCCTTTGGAATCGGTTTCCTATCCTTATCTAGTAATTTACATCTAACTTCATTATCGATCGACGTAAATAGTTTCAGATTATGGAATTAAAATGTCCAGTTAAAATTACTCAGCATAAAAATGCTAAATACTTCACTCTTATTGAAAATCGTATGAACAAGCACATAATTTATCAGTGTCTGGTTGTACCTAATAGCATTTTCCGTTTTTTTATTGTATGTGAGCATTCATTGATAAATATATGTAGCATATATCGGGGTATGGTAATTATTTTACTTGTCAAAATCCTAGGCATTCGCGCACAATACCGAAGGTCCCGGGTTCGAATCCTGCGAGGAGCAGGAGTCGTGCATGCGCACTGCCACTGATGAGTTCCATACCAGGACGAAACGGCCGTCTCTCAGTGCTTCCAGGTTTCTAATGGTGTTGGTCTAACAATAATTGATTGATGATTTCAAATGTGTAAAAACACAAACTTCCAAAACTCTGCCCCCCAAAAAACAACATAGTATTATTTGGTTGGCAGATTTATAAGATATATGAATGTTAACACAATGTAACAGTTTCTTGTTTATGAATATTCACTTAACAGTTTTCATTCACCTTTAGACAAAATAGTACACTCATCTACCTAAGTACATGCATGATAGGTCATATTTTTTTGTTGTTAAAAATAAGGATAATTGAGTGAGTATGTAGCCACAGCCAACGCCCAGTAGATGTGAGTCAGCATGTCGTGAAAACAAATGATCGATTAATTATACTTGGATAAATTTTATTTGATAATTGTTTGCGTGTCATTTTAAAATATTCATGTCATGATAATATACTACTAGCTGCTAGTTGGATTAAAATGCATGGTGTGATCAGTGTAGTTTGACGACCGATAGACAATTATCTACTTGTTTTAGCAAACAGATTTTGAAGACAAGATGTAAATATTTTGTCAGTCAATCAAATCAATCGATAGCAACGTTGAACCACTGTACCTACGTACATACGTACATCAGTTCATGTTGCCATACCACATTAGCACAGAGATGTAATTGTCAATTCAAATCCAATAGTAGTAGAGGTATTATAGCAGTAGTCGGAGAGGTTAGGATTAGAGGATATTATTCAAGAAGTAGAATCTAGTGAAATAGATTTAGAAAGATAAGGATAAAGTGATGAAGAGTTAAAAAGTTTAGGATTTCAGAGAACACAAAGAATGAATGTACAGGCGCCATTGCAAACGCTTTTGAGCCATGTCATTCAGGGTCTCTAACCATCGATTATTATTATCATCTCGCGGACCCCAACCAGGTAGTCGACACCTACCAACATGACTCAGTCCACTTGTCAGTGACTTCATGGATTTCTGCCATGTTTTGGTTTGGCCGCCCCTAGCTTTCCTCCAACCTATTCCTACACTACAAAACAAAAAGCTCGACGTGGCAGTCGGTGGTTAGGCTTACGCAGCACATGTCCCAACCACCTAAACTGATAAAGTTTCAATATTTCATCTACTAACATATTTTGTTGGTAAACTGCATCTTCTCTGTATATATATATATATATATATATATATATATATATATATATATATATACATAGTTCCATCTGATCTCGACTTCATACTGGGTTGAATTCCCAAATGGGGTAGTGAATGCACACTGATGAGGATCGATCCTTAATACAAATTATACATTTCCACAAATCCTCTTATACGTACTGTTTACTAAAATGATTAATAATAGTTACAATGTGAAAAACATGAGAACTTAATTCATTCATCAAATAGAAATGAACACAAGGCACATTTTAATTCTATGCATACTACTTAACTTAGATTGAATTATAAGCATAAAAACATCATTTGGTTATATGATGCTATTATGATGCACATGACTGATTGATTCATTTACATAAGACCTAGCACATCAAATACATTTCTATATCGATCAAGGTCAAATGAATGAATGAAACAAAAAGGTATATGGTTCATTCAACTCGTAAAGCACAAACAATCAATGTACTATGAAATTTACAATCACTTCATTTTGGATTTACAAAATGTATATGAAAAAAGGGTAGTTTTTTTTCATGTCATGAACGTTCCGTTGATTTATCTTAAGTGAAGATCACTAAAAGTGTAAATCATACTGGACAGATTAATGAATTGTTATGTTGTGTACGTAGTAAGTATTCCATGAACATCATCGACATGAAAGGTGGATCCGATGCAGATGTGATGGTGCGGATTGGCAAAGCAAGGGCTGCATTTCTACAGTTGAAAAATATCTGCAAATCCAAACAGCTGTCAACCAAAATCAGAATCAGGATTTTCAATACAAATGTCAAGACAGTTCTACTGTATGGAGTGGAAACTTGGAGAACTACGAAAGCCATCATCCAGAAGATACAAGTGTTTATTAACAGTTGTCTACACAAAATATTTTGGATTCCGTAACCAGACACCATCAGCAACAACCAACTGTGGGAGAGAACAAACCAGATTCCAGTGGATGAGGAAATCA